CCCAAGCCTGGGGTCAGTCGGGCACAATTGCTATCAGCACTTGGGACTCCGGATGCAAATGAGGGCCCTGTCCGGACAGGTGCAGGCATCGGCACGGAAACCGGGCATTTTGCAAAGAAAGGGCAGGTCTTGTCTGTACTTCCCCTAAGAACACTGCTCCAGGAAGCGGAGGGTGACCTAATTCTGACTCAGCAGGGTGGCTCAGGGACATGCCCATGTTTCCACACTCGCTGCCCAGAGAGCAAACCCTGCAGCAAGTTGGTGGCCTCAGGAGGAACCCAGGCAGCTTGACAACTATTCGTGGCTGCACAATCCCTTCCCCACTGATGCCTGGGCAGGCTCCGAACCCACCAGGCAGAGCCCACCTGCATATCAGAAAACCACCTCAGGGGCCAGGAAAGGGTGGGGTCCTCCCAGGAGAGAAGCTTGGGCAGAGCAGGAAGGCTCCACACCAGGGCAGGCAACCAACTGGGCAGCCCTATTCTCAGCCCGAGAGCCACTCAGCGTGTGTGCCACAGCTCCTCAACTCGGCCCTCGCAGGGCGAAAGCGACTTGAACTTCAATATAATTTTCACACGTCACGAAATACTATTCTTGCTCCGGCTTGCTTCAACCATTTAAAAGTGCAAAAACCGCCCTGACCGGTTTGGCTCAGTGGCTAGAGCGTCGGCCTGCGGACTGAAGGGTCCCAGGTTCGATTCCGGTCAAGGGCATGTGCCTTGGTTGCGGGCACATCCCCGGTGGGGGGTGTGCAGGAGGCAGCTGATCGATGTTTCTCTCTCATCGATGTTTCTAACTCTCTATCCCTCTCCCTTCCTCTCTGTAAAGAATCAATAAAATATATTTAAAAAAATGAAAGTGCAGAAACCATCCTCAGCTTGCAGACTGTACAAAGCCAGGCAGTGGGTGCGATCGGCTGTGGTCACAGTGTGCTGACCCCTAGCCTCGATGTCCCTCCGGCCTCAGGCACACAGAACATCCCAGAAAGTCCAGGGCTGTAATCCCCACGAGCCAAAAACGCAAGAACCCCCGACGGAGGTTCCGGGAACCAGGATGACCAAGCTCTCCTAGCCCTGGCCTCCTCCCAGCCTGGGCCTTGACCCAGCCCCTGGCTGCCCTGGGGCGCTTTGGGGTCACCACCCGATGCCCCGCAGGCCTTACTCCATCTCCTGGCGCTCCGCCTCCTCTTGGCTCAGGTCCTCCTCCACGCCGTAGTCCAGGATGGAGCCCACGCCAAAGGCCCTGTTATGCCGGATGAGGGGCTGGATGGACTCCTGGTCCTCACCGGCCACAAACTGTCCGTAAAAGGTCATCTTCATCAGCCTGTCGAATAGCCGTTGTCCTAGAAGCCTCCTGGTGAAATGGAGCAGCTGAAAGGCGAAGGGAAGAAGTTGTCTCGGGCCAGCAGCTCCCCCCCCTCCCGTCCCCCCGTCCCCAGCAGGGCACCCTGCTTCCCTGGCCCCTTCACTCCAACCATGAAGCCTGGACACTCTCCTGGGGCCTCCATCTTATTTAATTTATTTACTTATTTACTTATTTACTTACTTACTAACTAGAGGCCTGGTGCACAAAATTCGTGCACTGGGGGGGGTGGGGCATCCCTCAGCCTGGCCTGCGCCCTCTAGCAATCCAGGAGCCCTTGGGGGG